CAACCTGGACTGCACACCAAGCTTCCAGACAGGCATTAGTGTTAGTTTAGCTATGCCAATGGGCAGGAATTTTCATCTGGTCATTTCCACAGTCAGTCCCATTGCCGTAGAATTGGATTGAGGAAATGGCCTCAAGTTGCACCAGGGGAGGTTTAGATTGGATATTATGAAAAATTTATTCACCAAGAGGGTTGTCAAGCACCAGAATGGGCTGCCCAGGGAAGTGGTTGAGTCACCATCCCGGGAGGTACTTAAGATACGTGTAGATGTGGCACTTAGAGACATGGTTTAGTGGCAGACTTGGCAGTGGTAGGTTAATGGCTGGACTCGACGCTCTTAAAGGTCTTCTCCAACATAAATGATTCTGTGATTCTATGATCTGAGGAGCTGTCAATCTGGCTGAGTGATCTTACATGAGACCCTGGGTTTAGGGAATACATAGCAGAGGTAGAGCCTATTTTCAGCGCTCCATAATTTTCTCATGGAGGACAGGTAGCAACTAAAGTGGCAGCTCACTCAGACACAAAGAAGTATGGCTAACATACTTCAGGGTCTGGGTCACCGGGCTGCTTCAGCACCCAGACTGATTCTGCATTTGCAGGAAGCACTATCCCTCATCCCACAATGCAGGTGGAAGCCAACTACATTTTTCAGGAGCTAATTCAGATTTGCCAGCTAGGGTAGAGCCTGAGTAGCCACTATCCAGGCTCTCCTCTGGGCTTCGTACCGCATTACAGCGTGCAAACAGCAATGAAAGAGGATCCATCCAGGTCTTCTGGGGACCACTCATGTTAACTTCATTCTCCTAGGAAGACACATACAGTTTCCAGCAGGATCTGCTCAGCCCTACAACATTATTTTCATAAAATCTACCCTGTAGTCTCCCACCTTTCATGCTGAAAGAGGGATAACATACACTGCTTCGGTCTTCCCCTAGAGCTCCCTTTTGCGTCACCTGAATGGCTCTCTGCAGCCACTCTACGAGGTAAAAATTAATAAATACATTTAAAAGCAGCCTGCTCAGGACACAAAGAAGTGGGGGTGTGTACGTGCACATGCTCTTGCTGCTGTAGTATCGCTGGTTATTTGGGATAGACACCATTGCTGCTTGGCAAGTTACACCAGCAGCAAGGGAGAAGGCATTCAACAGCCCATTAGATGGGTTTGCAAATCCCTGATGGCTGTTTAATAAGGATCCTCTTTAGAAATCACCACCTCTTCCTCAAGGGAGCCCGTGAACCCTGGGAAAATAATTCCCTGTTGAAGAGCAACAGCAGTACATAGTGTAGCTTCACATCTACCCATCTTTATCAGGTACTAGGCTGGTGCTTCTTTGGCCAAACACTGCACCATCTATGCTGCTATTCCTTGGCTGTTTGGGTTGCCAGTTTTAATGCAGAAAAATATAATCAGATGTAGCTAATCCAGAAATAATCCAGAAATTATCACTGGCTTCTACCTTGCAACAGAAGCCAAACACAATTGCGTACATGGATATACAAAAGAATTAAACTAATTATACAAAAGAACTAAACAAATTATACATGTTTCTGAACCCAGTTGGTTCAGAATCCAGACCAAATGGCAAGAGACTTTTCTTTTTTTTTTTTCCCACCACAGTAGCAGCGTGTTGAAAAAAGTTTGTTCTATTTTAAAATGTTGTGTGCACTCCAGATCATTATCACATTCCTACCTGGGCAGATAATAGACATAGCTGGTAAGGAAACATTTCAAATTTGATGCCATAAAAAGATTCATGTTTACTCAAAGGTTGCTCAGTAGCAATAAAAAGCAGTCATGCATTCAGCTTGTGAAGGCAGAATATACAAAAGCACTGCGCAGAACAACAGGACACTTCCCATTTCAAAAGAGAAGGACCTAGTGACAAGCATCTGAAGGAAAAGGATCTTTTCAGAATAAAGCTCCTTAGATTTAAAATATTGTTAGAGGTGATGTAAATACTATGAATCAAAACTTCCAAAGAAGTTTGGCAGTGCCTGATGAAAGACCTTTCATCCTAATGCAAGACTCCAGATTTCAGAAGACCATTTATCCCATAATTGCCAAGCCTGAATGGGGGTAGGGGAAATAACCATCAGTGTCAAAAGCAGTTCCATCAGGTGTGACTCACCTTGATAGGTCAATATATCGAATACACATCCAGAAACTTGTAGATGGGCAAAATGCTCAGAAGACTCTTGTGGTAAGGGAAGTTTGAGACAGGAGTGTATCTAATCACCTAAACTATCAACAGGAGTTGCTTTTGCAAATTACACTAACAATTCGCTGTTGCTATCTTTTGTTACAGTGAAGAGTGCCTGAGGAAAATGGTCCTGTTTATGACTGACAATCTCGGTCAGAAGATAGTCACTTGAGTGATCTAGTTCATCTAGGCATTGGGAAAAAAATAGAACAAAAGCTAGGAAGATGTAAGTAATCCAAAAAACCCTGAAGATTTAGAAAATTCTGATGTTCTGCAAATGGAGATTGAAACTGGCAGCTGAAAAAACAACAGGAGGTTTGTTGTTTGTATTGTTCCTAAGGTACGTGGGGAATCAAGCAGTAACTGTGGTTGTAGAAAGGTTAAAAATAGATTTTTGGTTCCTCTGTGAGTTGGCAATCAATCTGCAGCACATCAATGTGACCACAGGAACTTAAGGACTCTTACAAAGCCATGGCCAAAGCGTGATGTCCACATGACTGAAGTGACTGGAAGTCACCTCAGGGCTGATACGTGCTCTGAGGTGTGCCACGACGGCAGATAACGTACAGCAGCCTGAGCAGCTCACCGGTGTGAGAAAGAGGGAAAGAGGAATTGTATAGATCAGAGCTGCACAGCAGCTGAAAATGGTGAAAGAGTCAGCAAGTGGTTTTTTTAGTTCTTTAGGAAAAAAAAATACAACATATGTCAAAAGTCTTCTGAAAAATAAAACAAATATGTACCTAGATGTGCATATAGAGATACACAGGTATCTGATGTATACCATTTATACACATTTAAATACAAAACATGGGATACATGCACCCACACCTTAATCATCTGCTATTCTTGTCCAAACCAGCAAAGGCCAAAAGTTCTCCCAAACAACATGGTGATGGAAATTGTCAGCCATGTCAAAATTCTGAGAATGTTGCTTTAGACTATTTGGATACAACAAATCAGTCCAGATGTTTGAGCTTTTAATTATTCCTCAAGTCAGAAGAAATCAAAAAATGTAAGTTACCTTTGTCTCACACCCAGCAAAAAAGACGGTGTTTCCAAACTCATTTGCAAAGAACAGTTGATGACAGTTTAAAATGTTTTTAAATATTGTGGAAATCAGAGAAGGCCTATCAGCACTATCAAATTTGGCTGTTAACTTTGTGGGTGCTGTTAACTTAATGAATATAAACCAGGCATTTTCAGAGGCAAAATCATTTTTGTCATTCCAGTAAGACAGAGGCACAATTACAGTAAGAGAGAGGCAGTTAGTGTACCTGAGTATTTTCAGGAAATTACAATAATGTAAGTCAAACAAGTTATAAATATGACGTTTATGAAGTGACTGGATTATAGCTCCACAGGTTACACGAAGTGCTGATGCTGCCTAATTTTTAGTACCTCTGTGTATGTTCACAGAGCTTAAGGCATAGGCTACAAGGCTGGTTCAAAAGGTTGATATGCATCTTCGGGGATGCTCCAGGTCTATCTGAGCAGTAAAACACACAAACGGCACAAGTAAAAAAGAGCTCACAACCCTCTGCTAAATTACATCTCCTATGGCACTGCCCCAGGTGGGATACGGAACTACACAACCCGTCAGCTCGACCCAGGAGGGCATTTCTAATGCTCAGGGGAAGCTGCTTTGTAACAGGCATTTGATACAGTGTTAGTTCATTCCCCCTGTCGCTCCCGCTTTTGGCAACTCATCTTTGATGGAAGTTCACAATAAATTACTTGAGATATTATTAAGCTTAGAACTGCAGAAGATATTAAGCTTTTGCTTTGCGCTGCTTTTTTTTCCTGGGATGGAGCTAGAGGAAAGCTCAAAGTTGTGGCTGTAGGTTTGTAACAAGCAGCTGTCACGAGGCTGTTCCTGGCACGCTGTCACTTAACTGCCGGCCTCAGAAGTGGACTGTTTGCCATTTTCAAGCATGGTATTTTGCAATATGAAGAGGTAAAAGTGGCTGTGTATTTCGAGTCATTAACTGCTAACTCTAATAAGGATTGAAATTCAGGGACAGATGACTCTGAACAAGGACTGATCTGAAGGAGGTATTCATAAAGGACAGAAAGAAGTGAAAATGTCAGAGCGAGCTAGTTTCAGAGAAAATGATTTGGAGAAAGGATTGGGAAAGGGGTTCCACTGTTACAATGGCAGGGGGGCGTTAGGGAGCCCTGGCCACATTTGGCTATGAGTGTTCGGTTCAGTGGTCTGAGGAAATGTTGCAAGGCTTTGGGTAATGCTGGGAGGCCTTGATTTCCCAGACACAGATCAGTGAAACACGTTCCCACTCATGGCTGGGCCGGGTAGTTCTGGATACGAAAGATTTCTTTAGTTAATGACCCAGCAAAAGCGATGCTACTTCATGCATATCAGCCACCGGCCTTCTCTGTCCCAGCCCCATCCGTCTTGCAGATCTCACCTCAGACTCTCCACCTACCTCGGCTTTGCCCTTGGCAAAACACAATTTGGTGATTACAGCCACGCAGGAGCCCCCACCGCCGGGGAGCCTGTGCCCAATCCGTGGGCAGGGCAGGGCCCTGCTGCCCCCGGGAGCTTCTGGGGGGCGGGATTTGGAGGGGGGTCCCGGCCGGCCGGCGCTGCCTCTTTGGGACCAGCGCTGCCAACTCTTTTTCTGCATCACCTCCGCTCGCTGGGACGCCGTGTCCCCGCCGGGGGAAGAGGCTGGGGGGAGGAGGAGGAGGAGGAAGAGGAGGAGGAGGGACAGCCGTACCTGGCTGGGGCAGGGCTCCCCTGGGGGGAGGCTCTGCTGCCGCCTTAACCCCCACCCCGGCGCCGCCAAGGTCACCGTCCCGGCGTGTCCCTCGGTCGCCTCTGCCGGGGCGCGGACATCTGAGAGTTGAAAGAGGCTTTTCTTCCCCGGGGGGAAGGGGCAGGGGCAGGAGAAGGAAGGAGGGGCGGG